GTGAGAGGCCATTGCCGCCGCTTGCCTGGGGGGGGGAACGGTGGCACCGGGGTCCAGCAAGGCCGGCGGCCATGCTGCCTGCGGGAGCCGGGAGCCTCGGGCGGAGGGACACAGGGGGACACAGCCCCCCCAAACCACGGCCCAGAGGGAGGGGGTGAGAACAAACATCCCCGGTCTCTTTCTCCCTCTGCCCACACTCGGCCTGTGCCTCCACTGCCCCCCGTCAGCCAGGGTCGGAGGACAGGAGCCCGGGTGACGTCACCCACAGAGGGGGCCTCCGGAACGCAGCAGGGCAGGGGCAGACGAGCCCCGGTGTCTTCTCTGCAGACAGGCCTTAGGCACGGCCGCTCCTGCGCCCAAAACAGCTTCCTCCCTCCCTCCCTTCCTTCCTTTCCTTCTATGTTTATTTTTGAGAGAGAGAGAGAGAGAGAGCGCGAGCACGGGTGAGGGGCAGAGAGAGGCAGACACAGAATCTGAAGCAGCTCCAGGCTCCGAGCTGTCAGCACAGAGCCCGACACGGGGCTCGAACCCACGAACCGTGAGTTCATGACCTGAGCTGGTCACTTAACCCACTGAGCCCCCCCGGCACCCCCAGAACCAGTTTTTGGACTTTGAGTACTTGGGGAAGAGGTCGGGGCAGGTGTCCTCGATGCCCCTTGGGCTTCTGTCCGCGATGCACAGCCTCCACCCGCTGCACCGAGGCAGGGCCGGGCTTGCCACGTCCTGGGAATCCCCTCCTCCAAGAACAGGGGCGTCTTTTGGCCTGAGACGCAGAGTTAGGGCGTCCACAGAGCTGATGCCCTTCGGCCTGACCACACACGGGAGGGGCTGGTCAGCGCCCTTGCTCCACAGTCACGCTCTAGAAGCCACCCCGTCGGGCATCAGTCAGCCCGTGAGGTGGGGGGACGGGGGCTTCAGCCCGTAAGCAGAACGGGGGCTGGAGCGGTGACGCTGAGCTCCCGGCCGTGAGAACGGGGTGCTGTGCAAGGACAGCGCCCCCCAGCTATGAGCAGCTCGCCTCTGACCGGGATCAGGACACAGAGGATAAGGCACAGCCCGGCCCCGAGGAGCCCCCGCCGTGGGTTAAGGCCAGAGTTCCGACCACGGCACCGTCATTTCCCCTGGAGGCTCCAAGTTCTGGAGCCGGGTCTCAGCTCAGCCGCCGACCCGCATGTGCGAGAGGGACACGTGTCGTCTTTACACAAAAAATACCAGAGACCATGTGGGGCCCAGAGAGGGAGGTGAGGGGGCCCTTCCCTGGACTCACGCTTCCGAGGGCCCAGTGTATTACAAACGGACACGCACAAATTCCCGCAGGGGCCACAGGAGCCCCTCTGTCCCCTCAGAGTCTGCCCGGTGTCACCCAACCTGCACCCTCAGGGCCCCTCCCGTGAGAAACACGGGCGGGCTTCAGGGAGGCGGGGGCAGTAGCTCCTGAAAGACTCCCAGCGGGGATCCAACCGGTTCTTGCCCAAACCCGAGTCACTTCGCAATTGTACCAAACACCCACTTTCTGGCTCTTTTTCCAATCTGTGCTTCTGGAGACACTCCCACATCAGCCCGTCCTCACAACAGCGGCACACAGGGCACCTGCCGCACACTGTGCAATGTCAGCTGATTCCCGTCCAATCATCTGTACCCGGACCACATCGTAACAGAGGACAAGCATACTAATTACGTCGGCAGCGAGTGGGCCCCCCACACTAGGATGGCAAACAGTGCTATTTTTCTGAGAAGTACGTAAAAGGATTTAAACTTTTTTTAAATGACTTTAAGCATTTCAGCTTGATTTAAATAATTTTGATATGAAACGCTGCCATTCTTCAATTATAATTTATCTCGTGCCTTTAATTTTAGTGGGGAATTTGAATATTATCAAAGAAAAATAACGGGGGAAATGCACATAAAATAAATTTAATTTTGCAATTTTTAAGAGCAAGAGTTTTTGTGAAAATACTTACCTTTTGTAAATTCTGAGTGCAACTGATTTACTTACTAATCATGGAGATTTGTCTGTCAGTAAAGCCCAAACCGTGTGAAAAGCTTGGCTATGACAAAACAGTTAATGATTCTAATGAAATTAAGGCAGTAAGATTTAAAACTTTATGGGAAAATAGTTATGAAACAGTTCACGAATTTGTAGGTCTTTAACGGCCATCCCAAGTCACCACCACTGTCAAGTGCAGTGATCAAACTGTCATGTCTGATGGGGAGGGGACGGCGAAACGGATGGAGACGACCCCGGCGATGGGCACCGGGTGACGCGGGGAAGTGACGAGTCACATGAATCCAACAGGACGCTGTACGTTAATCATACGTCAATTAAAACAAAGAAAAATAAGTAACTGTGTCTATGTTGCCCACTTTCAATCATAGGAAAACCGTAGACGGCTCTGCAAATATTCTGTCTTGTCATTACCCAAGCAGGTGGGGATGGGGGGGAGGAGGTTTCTTTAACAGGGTGCACTTGACCCTTTGAACCCTGGGGCAGAAGGGAGCCTCCACGGGTCCCTTGGTTCAGGCGTGGATCCGATGGGCCACGAACCCCATTGCTGGGTCTCTTGTGATCACGCACATACACTTCCACAGGCCCGCCAGTCCCCTTGTCCCCTGGGGCCGCCCGGGGCCTTCCGGAACCGGAGAGCAGAGAGCCCGCCTGTGGCCGCAGGCCAAGGAGCAGCCCTTGCTGGGCGGGTCCCGGATGGACCTGGTGAGACCCACCACTCGGGCTGTGCGGGTCACACCGGCCCCACCGGCCCCGCGACCTGGCTCCGAAGTCCCGGCCGGCAGATTGCCCGGTGCCGCCTGCCCTCCCCCTCCAGGCACTTCAAGTGCACGGTGACGCGGCCCACGTGTGACTCCAACCGCTGATACCACGTTCTCTGGGGCCAGGGGGCCCGGTAAGGATTTCAGTAACCTCTGTCTGTGAGCCGGGGGCCTGGGGGAGCCCCGCCGACCTGCGTCCCCGAGCCGGGGGCCTGGGGGAGCCCCGCTGTGTGCAGCAGGTGTTCAGCTGTGTCGACGTGAGGCCTTCAAGGAAGAGGCGGTGGCTCGTGCAGACGGGCGCCAGGAGATGGACTAAAGGAGCAATCTCGAAACAGGGTGGGCGACAGGGATTTGAGGGGGGGCGGCAGACAGGGAGGTGGCCCTGGGCACACAGGGAGGGTCTGGCCCTCCAAACTCGGAGAGGGAGCACTGGGACCCAGCTCATCTGGGGAGGAGGGGCTGGGTGATCCGCTGCCATCTCACCACACGGGATTTCCACGGAAACCCGCACGGATTGGGACCGCGGCCCAGGGCACAGCCGCCTGTGCAAGAGCCGGTCAGCCTCGGGGTGCGAAGTTCCCAGCCTGTGGGTTGCGGACTCTCCCCTCCTTCTCAAGCAACTGAACCCTGGTTTGAACTGGGGAAACCACGTATGCAGCTGAGAGGTCACGTCCTCAGGCTTCCCTGCCACGAGGTGTCTCGTGACCAGGTTCTCGCCAACAGGGTGGTGCGGCGCGCACGGGACAGCGGGTAAGTGACACCGCTCAGCAGGAGGGGGCTGCTGGCCCCCCGGCCCCGCCTCCACCTCTGCATCTTCTTTCTCTGAGCGCCTGGAACTTGGGCATGCTGGCTGGAGCTCCAGCAGCCTTTGGCACCATGAGGTGGCCGTCAGGATGAAAACCACGTGGGGTGACGAGCAGCGGGTGCTCGGTGTCACTGAGGCGTCACCCAAACCCCACACTTCCCGGCCCTGGGATGCATTCACGTGAGACACCCCGGCCTCTGTGACGTTCCCAGGAACGAGAAGCGGGCGTCATCCCCGGGGATTTGTGCTCACTCCTCCCCCTGCCTGGAGCACGCCCTCCCCTCCTCCGCATGTCTGCAGAGAAGCACGAGGAACCTGAGGCACTGAGGCCGTCCCCGAGCCCCAGGTTACAGCACCCACGCCCGTGGCACTCCAGGACTCAGCCCCGCCCTGCGCACTGTGGGTCCCCTCCCTGCCCCTCTGCTTGCTGTCTGCCCCACCCCTGCCGGGACGTGAGCATCACAGGGACAGAGGTTGGGCTGTTCTGTCCTCTGCTCTGTCTCTTGTGCCCAGAACGGTGCTTGACGCACAGAAGTTGCTCCATAAAGACGGAATGAATGAATGGCACAATCTGACGGCCGGGCTCTGGGATGGGTCCATCCAGCTCAAGACAAGCCCCCGTGGGCACGAGGGACCAGGCTGGGACTGCATGTCTGCCGTGTGTGGGGTGGACACGGACGGAGCTCCGGATTCTCGGGGGCTAACGGGGGAGGACAAGGTAGCCCCCGGCCCTCTCCACCCTCGCACAGTTCAAGTCCGGCGCCCCGCCCGAGGCTCACCATGTGCTGAGACACCCACAGAGCCCGTGAACCAAGCCTGCACCTCCCGTGCCCCGCGGGCAGCCCCAAGCACTACTGGATGTGTGTGGTACTGTGAGGACTCTGCCCGCCTGGCTGGGCCACCATACCCACACGCTGGGTCCATCGTTAGTCTAGAGATTGCTGTGGAGCCGTGTTTTAGAGGAGATTAACATTTCAGTGGGTGGCCTCAGAGTAAAGCAGATCGTCTTCCATCACCACGTGGGTGGGCCTCATCTAAGCAGGTGAAGGCCTTAGGAGAAAAAGGCCTGCTCTCCCCAGAAGAGAGAATTCTGCAGCAGACCACCTTCAGGTTCAAACTGTAGCTCTTCCCCGGTCTCTGGCCGGCCCGCCCTGCAAACTTTGGACGTGCAGCCTCCACGGTACACGAGCCAGTTCCTTAAAATATGTCTCTCTACGTCCCATCCTATGGTGTCGGGTCCTCTGAGGACTCTGATACAGGCCCACTGTTCCCACAGCCCGGCAGTCGCTGGGAGGGCTGGGTGTCCCCTAGGAGTGGGGACCCGTGAGCCTCACTCGTACAACGAGGGGACATGAAGCAGGACACACGGTGCCCTTGTGGGTCAAACCCAGAGCACGAGTGGACGTCACACAGCACGAAGGCACAGGGCTCTGGGTACGGCCACCAAACACAATGGCTTTATTTACCGCCGAAGGAGGGCCGGGCCACGGCCGCGGAGGGCGCTGATCCCCCAGCTCGATGGCACTGAGCTGCGCGGGCCCAGGACGCCGAGAGCCTCACGCGGGCAGGAGGGCGGGCAGCACTTTCCCAGCACACTGGCCGAAGCCGACGCGGTAGCCATCCCCCTGGCAGTGCCCTGGGCAGAGGGGGACAGGGTCAGGGTCAGGCTCCGCCGGGCCCTGGGCAGAGGGGGACAGGGTCAGGGTCAGGCTCCGCCGGGCCCTGGGCAGAGGGGGACAGGGTCAGGGTCAGGCTCCGCCGGGCCCTGGGCAGAGGGGGACAGGGTCAGGGTCAGGGTCAGGCTCCGCTGGGCCCTGGGCAGAGCAACACCCACCCCCGGAGCTGGGCGGAGCCGTGGGGGGGGGGGGACGGTGGGCACACCTGCCCCCAGGGACCCTCTGACACTGGATCACAGCCTTCCTGACGGGTGGGCACCTCCCCCCGAGCAGGTTTGGGGTCAGACAGCACGTCTGCTGACTGATGCCTGGGCCCCAGGACCGGGTCCCCTTAGAACCCAGGCTCCTTGTCTGTGAAGCGGATCGCGGGACGGTACCCACGGCACGGGTGCCACAGACTGATGTGCGCTGATGTGTGCACACAAGAACAGTGCCCTGCGAATGCCCAGCAAGTGCCGGCTGGTGTGATGTGAGTGACAGGGCCACACGCCTGACCTCAGAGCGCGGCGCCTCTCGGGTCGCAAGGGTCAGACGGACTGTGGGCAAGGCCCCCGCACGACGCTGCACAGATAGGGGCTGTAGGCCCTCGGGTCCTGGAAACGACCGCGAGGAAGCGGAGGGGCCTGCGCAGACCAGTCAGCCCGGAGGGCAGGGGAGCAGGGAGGAGGGGCATCTGGGCTGGGACCTGGCGGGTGGATAGGAGTCCACCGGGACGCTGGGGCAACAGGTGTGCACGGGCGTGGAGGCCACGGCAGGAGACACGTGCGGTGCTCTCGTCCCGTGAGGCCGCCGTGCGGGGGCCAGAGAGGCCGGGGGCAGACAGCTCCAAAGAGCCACGGCCTGAGGCCACGGAGGCGACACGGATGAGCTTCTGGCCAGACGGTGACATGTAACAGCTGTGACTTAAAGGGAGCCCAGCGTGGCTCCGGAGGAGAAGGACGGACACACAGACACGTCAGTGTCAGACCCCGGGCCCCGGGCCCCCACACTGTCCTGCACCCCCAGGGCCCCGGGCTGCGTGGAGGCCAGAGAAGAAGAGGGCCGTGGTCCCTGCGAGGGAGGCCCGTGACCTGAGTCACACGAAGACAGCGGTGGGCCCCCCACCGGCTGCAGACGGCGGCATCCCCGGCCACCGTGTCAGACGGGTCAGTGCAGGTGAAGGTCACACAGCCAGTGGCGCCTGGAGTCCGACTGGCGTGTGACTTGAAGGGGGTGCTGCAGACCTTTACAGGGCCTTCCCTCTGGTAATAACACCCAGCAGTCGCGCGGCCCCCTCGAGCGCGCAGCTGGGAGGCCCACCCGGGTCATGGGACACGGCCGGAAACGGGCACCCAGGAAGGAGGGAAACGCCGTGGGACCCTGCGGTCTTTCCGGCCCCGGAGACCGCGGTCTGAAGTCCCGGGCAGCCAAGGCCGGTGCAGGGGGGAGGCCACAACACGCAGACACAGGCCTGGGGACGCGAGCGTGGGGACGAGAGAGGACAGACGGCTCCCCGGCCAGCCCGGAGCGCGGCACGGTCACAGCGGGGCGCGCACACCGGGGGAAGACGGCCCGGCCGCCCTCACCTGTGATGACGACCTCATCCCCGTCCAGCAGGAACTTCCTGGTCTGCCCGTCCCCCAGCTCGATGGCCTTCGTCCCCTTCCAGGACAGCTCCAGCAGGGAGCCAAAGCTTTCCGGCTCCTTCACGGCAGGAGGGGGAGAGAGCCCCACGTGGTGAGCGTGTCGGCTGCACAGGGCACGCCTGCGGAGCCTGGGGGCCCCGGGCAGGGCTGGGGTGCCGTGTCCCCAAGGCCCTGCCCCGGTGGGACGTCTGCACTGTGCCCGCTTTGTTCAGGACGCGGGAGTGCAGAGCGGCGTGCCCTGATGCTGCCGTGCCTGCCACCCCCCCCCCCCCCGGGAAAGGATCCCCCACCGACCTGGAGGCTGCGGTCGGGACTTTGCAGAAGCGACTGGCACACGTGTGGCCCCAGACCGTCATCTCCTCGGTTTCCATGACTACCATGGGCTTATGGTGACAGGCAGGGGGGACGGGGGGCCACAGCACTGGGGCCGCCTCTTCCTGGGGGGCCCAGCAGGCTCCTTGGCCGTTCCCTGACTGTCCCCCACGCACACGGGCGCAGCCGCCCGCTGTGACAGCCTCTGTAGGCCTGAACCTGAGCCCCCTGGGCCCCCCCGTGGGACGAAGCTATAGGAAGGAGGAGCTGCAGGGGACGCCCACCCTGGGCGGGCCGTCCCTCCCGGAGGGTGAGCTGAGGGCCCTCTGGTCTGCGTAGGGGGCAGGCCCCAAGGTCATCGGAGACTCACCGGCCCGCTGATGGTTCCAGAAGCCAAGAGGTCCCCCGGCCGAAGGTTGCAGCCGTTGACAGAGTGGTGGGTCAGCTGCTGCAGCATCGTCCAGTACATGTACTGAGGTGGGGAGACGGGGCAGAAAGGTGGCTCCCCCAGCCTCCGGCCGGCGGCTCACGGCCACTCAGGCAGACGGCCTCTGGGTGTTCTCTTGGGGCCCCGACTGGCCGGCAGCAGCCACGAGCTGTCCTCCGGAGCCACCCAGCCCCCCACCCAGCTGAGCCACCTGGACCCTCACCCAGCTAAGCCACCTGGACCCTCCCCACCCCAGCTGAGCCACCCAGACCCCCACCCAGCTGAGCCACCCAGGCCCCCCACCCAGCTGAGCCACCCAGGCCCCCACCCAGCTGAGCTCTGGCTACAGCCGTGGCTCCTCTGCTCCTTCACACGCCCCCAAGAAGGCAGACCTTCTCCCTGCTCACGCCCTCAGTCTGCAACCTGCTCCTCTGTCGGCAACTACATGCCGCCCTGCGGATGCCCCTGAGCCCTGAGCTGTCGTGCTTTAGGACCTCGTCACAGCAGAGGCTTCCGGTGAGCAGACCTCGGTTGCATCCCCCCCACCCGGACCCAGAAGCAGACACGGGCAACGGAGCAGAATGATTCAAGCAGGATGTCAGGGCAGGCCCGGAATGGAGGAGGGAGGGGGCCAAGGACCACGTGGCCACCAAGGTGCTCAGATGCGGCGCAGGCCCACAGTCTCCCACACCTGCCCCTCCTGGCGACGGAAAACTTAGAAACGGCTCTTGCCCAGGACGCCCACCCCCGCCCCAGGAGGCTCCCTGATCTCTCCTCAACCTAAGAAGCCCAGGACAGTGTCTAATTCAAAGGGACACTAGAGCAAACAGGAACACGTTGATTCAGAGGACATTCAAGTGTTCAGCGACGACACAAACATGCGCCCGGCCGCACTGCTCATCAGGGAGATGCTAACTGTCCCTCACCCTCACTGGCTCCAGGGAAGGCGCCCAGCAGTGCGTGTTGCCCAGGACCGGGAGCGGCTGAGCAGCTGAAACGCTAACCTGCGGCTAGTGTGAGCACGGACTGGCACAAGCTCTTTGGGGAACTGTCTGGAAGAGCTTCTAGGCTGAGTGTGCAGGTATATGCGCTCTGTGACCCAGCAACTATATTCCTGGATACACACCCTACTGGAAAGTGCCCGTGTGCCCATGTGGACTAGAATGTTCGTAGTAGCTCTGTACTAGCCCTGAACGAAAATAACCCACATGCCCTGCAGACCAGAATGTTGTAGAATGCTCTAGAATGTTCTAGAATGTTCGTAGGAAGTCTGTACTAGCCCCAAACGGAAACAACCTGTCTGCCAAGAGTAGAACATTTACACAGTGAGATAATGAACCACTTGGAACAATCAGGCACCTGCCACTTTAGAGAAGCCCGAGGGAGGAGAACACACACCATGATTCCATCTCTATACAAAACACACCAACTTAACGGACGGCAACAGAAGTCAGGAGTGAGGTCACCCTGGCGGGGGAGGGGGTGGCGATGATGTGACGGGAGGGGACAGCGGGGGGCAGCTGAGACGCTGCAGAGCTTCCGTTCCCTGGCCCAGGTGCCGGCTGCACAGGGATGATGACTCGATGACAATACTGAGCCTCACACTTAGAATCTGCATTTTCCTCCATGCGTGTTATGCTTCAGTTAGAAGTTTGCTTAAAAAAGAAGTGACTTAGGGGCGCCTGGGTGGCTCAGTCGGTTAAGCATCTGACTTTGGCTCAGGTCATGATCTCACGGTCTGTGGGTTCGAGCCGCACCTCGGGCTCTGTGCTGACAGCTCAGAGCCTGGAGCTGCTTCAGATTCTGTGTCTCCCTCTCTCTCTGCCCCTCCCCTGCTTGCGCGTCTCTCTCTCAGAAATAAGCATTAAAAAATTTTTTTTAAATTAAAAAAATTAAAAAAAAAAGAAGTGACTTGGACCCACCGAGCCCCCAGCAGGGCAGATGCCAGAGACTAGACCCTTCCAGGAACATCTGCTGTCCCCCAGGAAAACCACGGGTCATGTCTATGCAGGCTGCATGTGGGGGGTGGTCTCTGCGGCCTCCAGAAGGAACAGGTCCCCGGACGCTCCGGGCCCAGGAAGCTCGAGGCTGCGCACTGCATGACCGCCTTCCAGGACGGACCCGACCCCCTTCCTGCCAGCCCCCACCTTCCCACGTCCAGGAGGCGGCCCAGCGGCTTCAAGGCTTACCTTAAAGTTGGACCTGCATATGGTAGCCGCCCGAATCATCCCTTCTCCTGCGGGAAACACGAGCAGCGCTGACAGGGGCCCTCGTTCCGTTAGTCCAGGTGGGGGCGGGGGGGGGGTTTGTAAGGTAAACTGCCCTGTGGCCCAAGCCTGCCATTGTCCACCATGACTTCACCACAGAGCCGTGAAGCTCGCGGCCACGGAGCTGCGACCCGCACAGGAGTGACACCCAGAGGCGGTGCGCACGTGGAAACCTACGTGCCACGCCCCCAGGGGCCCCGTGGACAGCGGGGGCATCTGTCCCTGGCCGGCTCCTCCAGGGACGGGCGGTGTGCTGCTTCACGATATAGCTGGTCAGCAGTTGTGAGACACCTACTGCACGTAGGCACCAGGCGTTGCCAGACCATTCCTCAGGGCCCACTGCCAGGACACGCCTCGCGCCGAGTCCTGGGCGCTGGCTTCCCGTCCGCGGCCGCACAGGGCAGCGCGGGGCCCCCACCACTCACGGCCCGCGGGCCCAACGGGCCGTCAGAACTGCACCCCCAGGGCTGCACTCAGCTCTAGGTCTTTCTACCTCTCCCACACTGCACCTCCTTGATAACCTCGCCCCGCCCCCCGGGCTCCCCCGGGACGTTTCTGGGCGGGCGGTGAACACAAGACCGAAGCGGCGCCGAGGGGGCCCGTGCGTAGGAGCCCCGCGCAGGACCAAGAGCACAGGGGTCTCCTCCGCGCCTGGGGCTGAGCCCCTTTCCCCTCTGAGCCGCAGTCTCCCCAAGTCTCCCCGGAAGAGCGGGACCAGCTAGTGCAGAGGGCACCACGCGGGCGTGAGCTCCGCCCACAGCTCCTCCCTCTGGGGGCGTCCTGTTCGCGGGGTGCAGGGGCCGCTGGCCCGCGGACGCAGGACAAGGGGAGAGCCATCCAGGGAGGGCGTGGCCAGGGGTCTGCGTGTGGCCCCAAGGGCCCCCATCAGGAGCGGAGGTGACACCGGCCTCGTCCTGGGTGCCAGCGCTGTTCTAAACCTTGGCAGGAATCCATGTCCTTAACATCCTACAAATGACAGACTAAGGCACAGACAGGCCCCGCCCCGTGCCCCGAGTCCCGCCGCTGAGCGGCGTGGAGTGGGCGCCGGCCACGGTCTGCGGGGCCAGGCTCTGTGCACGAAGGCTCTGCTGGCCTTGGGAGCGGAGCCGGGGGCCTGTCTGCGAGGCTCTCAGGCTGACCCGGGCTAGGGTGTGGGGGGCTGGCGTGTGGCCCCGGGGAGCAGAGCCAGGCTTTCCAACAGGCACTGGAGGGAGGGGTCACCAGTGGCGTGTGAGCGGAGGCTGGGGCGACCCTGGGGGGGCGGGGGTGCTGGAGAGGGATTCAGGCAGAGGAGGGAGGTCCTGGACTCCGTGCTTCTGGCCCTAAGAGGCGAGGGCGCGGCGATACTCCGCCAATGCCCTGCGGGCCAGGGTGGCCCGCGGGGTGTCCCTTCCCCCTTTCCTTTGCGAGGCCCCACGTGGCTCTGAGGCAGCAGCAGGTGACAGCATCCGGCGATGGCACTGGGCGCAGGGGCCACCCGGACACACCCTCCGAGGCCGTGACGGTACCTTTCAGGGTGACAGAGAGGCTGATGTCGAACGTGTAGGGCCGGTCGTGGCGGAGGTACGGCAGGGGCTTGGGGTCCTGTGAGGGCACAGCAGAGCACAGAGGCGCCGGCTGGCGGGCTGCGCCGGCCCAGGCACAGGGGCCTGACCTACAAGGGCCGTCCCTGGACGGCAGGGTCACCGGCAGTCACGCGTACCGGGCTCTGGGGGCGCACCCGCAGGACAAAGGTACAGGGGTCATCAGAGACGCCCCTGAAGGCCAGGGACGTGGGGGGCCAGAGGTGCGGGCCAGGCCAGCGGGGGCGGCGGCCGGGTGCAGGACGCGGGGAAGGCCGCCGAGCCCCGGCCACGAGTCCGCACGTCCGCCCAACGCGGTGTTTTCCTGAAGCGCCACACGAGGTACCTTGGGGTGATTTTAATGCTCATGTGTTTTTTTACGATGAACTTGGTGGCTCGTGACAGGAGCAGAGACGTGGAGTAAAAGATGATCCTAAACCAAAAAACAATCCATCTCTTTTCTAAATACATTTGAGTTTAAAAACGGGAGCTGCTTTACAGGAAAACATCAAAGACACAGCAGGTGGACGCAGCCACAGTGTGAAGACCCCGTGGGCTCCGGGGAAGGCGTCTGGGAAGGTGGAGATCTCACGGGACAGGAAGGCGCGGGAGGGGTGCGGCCTGGCGGGCAGGCAGGGGTCCGGCCAGGGAAGGGGCAGGTGTGGACTCCCCCAGACAGGGAGGGGCCGTCTCAGGGAGGAAAATGTAGGATGGGGACAGCTTCGTGGGGGATCTGCTCGCAGGGAAAGACCCCAAGCTTGCTTTCAGCACAGCAAACGTGAGCTGGGGGAAGTTGGGGGGGCGTGTGGTGCAAAACCCCAGCGGGGGTGGGGCGGACACCAGGGGACAGTGTTGGGGGGACAGCAAAGGGCCGTGTGTACCTGAGCATCGCAGGCCTTGGGGAGACGTGGGAGTCGGGGGGCAGAGAGCCAGGGAAGAGCAGGGGGCACTGGAGAGGTCACAAGGCGGCCCTGTGGGACCACTCGGGCGGGGGGGGCACCTACTGGCCGCTGGCTGGGTGGTTGGGGGGGCCGGGGACGGGGTGGGGCCTGCGGGGATGGGGTGGAGCCTTCGAGAGCCAGTGGCAGGAACGGCCAGGATGGGGTGAGGCCTACAAAGTGAACCCCCAGGTGCCTGGTTCTAGGCTGCATTCTATCAGGTGGGCTCCAGGCGGCGCCATCGCACAGAACTCTGCCACCTGGGGAGCTGGGCAAGGGGCCGACACTGGCCAGGACCCCTTAGTCTCCTGCCAGCCAGTCCCCCTCTCCCCCCACCCGGCCTCAGCGGATCCTGATGGTCACACAAGAAGTGTGCGGGGGGCAGGGAAAGCCCAAGGCGGGAGGAGCGGCCAGGCGGCCTGAGGTCACACACTGCCACGCTGGGGGCACAGAGCTACCCCAGAGTCTCCATGCCGGAGTCTCCGGCTGGAGCGCACGCGGCCCCGAGGCGGAGGGGCCTGGCTTCGGAGCCGCCGCAGGCTGAGCTCACCTGCTCCGGGTTGGGCACGGCGAAGGGCAGGAGGGCGTCCATGGGCACCACCCACGGCGAGATGGTCGTGCCAAAACTCTTCCCCAGGAACGGCCCCAGGGGGACGTACTCCCACTTCTGGATGTCTCGAGCTGCGGGGGAAGGCGAGCGGGGCTGACACAGGCTGCCAGGGGCTCACGGGAAGCCCCCTCCCCCGCGGCGTTGGGCCCCGGCCCGGCTGCGCGCGGCCGAGGGGCAGCAGCATTCGGTGCCCAGGTCACCGCGCCGAGTCACAGCAAAAAGAAGGCTGACCCAAGGGCAGGCGGGCCGTCCCCCCGGAAGGCACTAGAAGCTCATCGTCCACATGGGAGGCAGACGCTTCCCCGGACTCTGACATGAAGCGTAGGGGCCGAGATGGTCTGGACGCTGGGCTTAGCTCACAATCTCAGCCACTGACTGAAATCTGTGTGCCCGACCCCCTCGCGTGTGGCGTGGGAAGAGCCATGTCACCAGAACCCTGGAGAGACTCGGCACGGAGCCCAGCACATGCGTGCTCACAACTGCCAGCCGTGAGGTCAGCCTTGTCCCTACGGAACTTGCAAGAAACTGGATCAGAGAGGGGAGGTCCCTGGCCCAAGGGCTCAGAGTGGACAAGTCTGCATGGAGCCCACCGACGCCCCCGCCCCTGACCCGCACGGGACCCGGAAACCATCGTGGCCCGGTGACAGCGTCCCCACACCCCGTCCTCCCCCAGGCAGAGCGCCCACGGGGACGCCACGCCCCGTGATTACCGCTCCAGTCGTTCATAAGGACCATTCCGAAGATGTGCTCGTGGGCCCTGGAAATGGGGATGGGCTCTCCCAGGTTGTTCCCGGGGCCTACGAAGAAAGCCTGGCGAGGGGACAAGGGATTAGAATCCGGTTCCCCTCCTGCCCCTCACTTGCCCGGAGGGCAAAGGTCGGGCATTTCCAAACCCCGTCCGGGGGCCAGGCCTGCAAACCAGCTGGATTTCCGAGTCATGACCCGCGCTCGGGCAGGGAGACAGAGGCCCCCGGCCCGCCCTGCCCCGCCCCTCCCTCAGCACGCCCCAGGCCCCCTGCACACACCCCACGAGCCGCATCTCAAGGTGTGACAGCTGCATGAGGCTTGTGGACGGCGGGCACATCTGGGCTCGTCCTCAAGCCAGGGGGGTCCAAAGTGTCCGCAGTGCAGCCACGGACAGAGCCAGATGCCCCCCCACCCGGAGAAAACCATCACCACGGCCAAGGGCGGGAACCAGCAGCAGCCGAGGCACCATCGGAGGGAAAATTGGGGGAACGGCATCAAAATCACACAGAATCAGCGACATGTGTAAAACCTGACCCAGCTGTATTTTTTTAATCAAGACTTAAAAACAGAAAAAAACCCAAGGGCTCCCACTTATACAGAATCTGGTGCCCGTCGAGTGGAGGAAATCTGTGCCCCCCATCCCTGCACACAGTTTCCCTTCCTGTGCCCCACCTGCTGTCTACCCCCAACGGGGGGTCCATCTGTGTGCAGGGGGCCCTGTGCCGGCGCCTCGGGCTCATGGACCCCCTCTTAGGGGCCCCATGGCACCCCCCTGCACGAGGGAGGGGGCTGGCTGGGACTGGGGGCTCTCTGCAAGTGGCCACACATTCCTCACTCTGGACGGAACCCCGAGAAATCACAGAGCAGGACAGGAGACGTGTCCCCACCCTACGAGGTCGCCCCCAAACCCTCGGCCCCACCCGCCATGAGGAGACACCCAGGGCTCCCCCAGGGCTCCCCTAGAGCCACGGGTGCTGACTGTGCGGAGCCCCCCATCTGCCTGCCTGTGCTCCCGACCCGCGGGGGGCCTGTCTCCATGACAGGCCACTGACCCCAGGGGGCTGGAGACCCTGCCCTGCAAGCAGAGTCCTCTCCGTCCCGGTCCCCGCACCCCGGGGACTTCCCAGAGTCCCGTGATGCCTGCAGCGTGAGGGAACTGAGAGTGAGTGTCAGTGCCCTGGGCGGGGGGGGACACTGTGGTGCAGCCACATGGGGGACAGTGTGTTCAGGGGGTCGGGGTCCCCCCGTATTCCCGCGCACAACTGCACATCACTCTACAACTACCTCAAAATAAAGGGTTTAAGGTGAAAAAATGTGCAGCCCTGGGTCTGAGCCCAGGTCTGAGCTCGCGTGGGCCCGGCCACAACCTCGGGGGCTGAGAGACGCACCTGGGTCCTGCTACGTGTAGGGTTTATATTCTTTATTAATTTGTTTCAGGTTTATTTGTTTATTTAGAGTGTGTGTGTGCAGGGGAGGGGCAGAGAGAGAGGATTCAGCACAGAGCCTGATGTGGGGCTCAGACTCCCCAACCGTGAGATGGTGGCCTGAGCGAAACCAAGAGTCTGACGCTCAGTGACTGCCCCCCCCACCCCGCCCCGCCCCCCATGCCGGGCCTCTGGCCACATTCACAGCGGCCGGTCCCCACCTCACCTTGTGTTGTGTGTGTTTCGGGGGAAGGGCTCCCCGCATGCGAGCGCCCACACCGTCGGCCGGGGCCAGGCCGTCTAACACACGCCTTCTCCGTGCTCACTGACGCTCGCACTACGCTCGAGGGGGGTTTAAACAGCGAACGCACCCCGCCAAAGCCCAAAGATGCAAAATAACGTGGCTTTCCATTGTGAGAACACCACGTACGGTATGAACGGAGCAGAAGGCGGAGCGTGGCCTCGTTCGGGCCCCGCAGGGGACACACACTGGGGCCTCGAGCCCTCTGCCCCTCCGTGTGGGCTCCGCCAGTACGGCCTGGAAGTTCCCGGTCCCTTTCAGCAGCAGGAGGCTCAGACACGGAGCTGGGGGAGGACGGAGGCGGCCCTCCCGGAACCTTCCCGCCCGACGCCGGGCCCAGCCGCCCCGGGGAGCACGGAGGCCCCGCTCACCATCTCCAACTCCATGTCCAGGAGCTTGCAGGCGCCAAAGACAGGGGGCTTCGCTGCAAGATACCAGAAAAGAGGGGCTGCCGTGCGCGCCGCGCCACGGGACCCGCCGCATGGGGACACGGAGCAGGGACTCGTGAGGGTCGCTTACCGTCGTCGGGTCTCATCTGCCCCGTGGGCCTTCGGATCGGCGTGCCGGACACCACGACGGACGAGGCGCGGCCGTGGTAGCCCACTGGCAAGTGCAGCCTGCGGAAGGCAGTGGAAGGCGGTTACCGTGACACACGGTCAAGTACATGCCCACGGTTTTAAAACTAAAAACTAAAAGGAGTCCACATATACACGTGGTTCAGAGCCCACGGGGCATCTTAGGGGGGCTCAGTCCTTTGAGCCTCAGGCTCTTGGTTGTGGGTCAGGTCATGACCTCACAGTTTGTGAGTTCAAGTCCCGAGATGGGCTCTGTGCCGACAGCATGGAGCCTGCTTGGGATTCTCTCTCTCTCTCTCTCTCTCTCTCTCTCTCTGTCTCTCTCTCTCTCCCTCTCTCTCTCTCTCTGTGTCTCTGTCTCTCTCTCTCCCCCTCTCTCTCTCTGCTCCTCCCCTGCTCACTCTCTCTCTTTCTCAAAATAAATAAACTTTAAAAAAAAAAAGTCCAAAAGCACTGCTGAGTGTCCCATCAACAAATGCATGAGCAAAACGTAGGCTGCACGAGCCACGGACACAGCTCAGCACTAACAGGGCGGGCACAGGGTTCCTGGCTCAGCTGGTTAAGCCTCCGGCTCTTGATCTCAGCCCAGGCCTGGATCTCAGGGTCGCGGGATCGAACCCCACATCGGGCTCCTCACTGTGGAGCCGGCTTAAGGCCCCGCCCCTCCCTGCTCTCACATGCGTGCTCTCTCTAAAATAAACATTTATAAAATGATACACGTTTGACTTTATAAAAATGTAAAAGGCCCGTATTGACAAAGACAGCGCAGGAGAAAGACGCCACATCCGGAGGAAACATTTACAACACACGACACGGCGAAGGGCCCGTTTCTATTAGATTTAAAACATTCTTTCAAATTAATGAAAGGACAGTGACCACAGGAAAAGGCTGGTGGGGAGAGCGTGCGGGAGTGTCTGTGAGAGGGCAGGAAAGACGGACCGGCGTGGTGCCCGGGACAGGGGGGTCGGGCTGGGCACGGGGAAGGCGCCCGGGCCGATCACAAGACGCACGGGCCTCCTGGGTGATGAAGGACACACACACACTAACCCCAGGCCGGGCTGGGGACCCGCGTCGAACACCGAGGGCCCGCCGGCTCTCACCTGCGGCCGAAGTGGCCCTGGCCCCGCACCCGGCCTGGAGCGGGCACGGACCGAGTGCCCCCAGTCTGCGCACCCGCCAGATGTGGCCCTTCCTGCTGGCCCGGGGTGCCCGCCGGCCACTGGGTCCTGAGTCACCGCCACATCCAGAGGACACCACAGATGGCAAGGGTCTCTGCTCTGGGTTCCCCGTGGGGCATGGCCTTGACCCGGGGCCTCCGAGCCGCCTCTGGCCCCTTCGAGGCTTCTTGGAGCCTGTGCTCCCTCCCGTGACCTGGGGCTGAGGTCAGGGCCCTGGAGACCCCGCGAGCAGCTGTGTGACTCTTGCCGTGAGCGACCACGCTTAAGACCCAGGTGTGAGAGTTTCCAGACAGCGGGTCGGGCGCGCCCGCAGAGCCAGCACTCGCTGACCAAGGGGCCCAGACGGACGTCGCACGCACGGGGCTCGGGGACGGAGCTCCCAGCCCTGCTCTCCACGCCAAGGGGGCACTGACTGCCCGCACGCGGGGCCGCGCCCTCCCGTCCCTGCCCCGAGAAGGGCTCCTTAGCTTCTCGCACTCGGCCCGGACGTACCAGTTTGGCATGAGCGCGCTCTCGCTGCCCCGGAACATGATGCCCACGTTGGTGGCGTGCTGGCGGGAGGAGTAGAAGTCTGTGTAGTCACCTGCGGAGGACACACAGCAGACCCCAGGGGTGGCCGGACGCCCGGGGCAGCGAGGGGCCTCTCCTGAGTTCGCGGCCTGTGGCCGCTTCCCACAGCGCAGTCCGGGCTCCCGAGGGGAGACGGAGGAGGGGGTAGGGGTGGGAGGAGGGGGAGGAATAGGGAGGGGAGGAGGAGGGGGAGGAAGGAAGGGGAGGGAGGGGGGAGGGGGAGGGAGGGGAGGAGGGAGTCACACCAGCATTTACTTTAGAATCCGCCGCAGTTTGCAACACGACCCCACGGCCTGGGAGGAGCCCAGGGCAGAGCCCACCCCCCAAATTAAAAAATACTAACTTCACTATTTCTGCTTCTTGTTTGTTTTCATATGTCTGCGTGAGTCTCCATCACCATCACTTAAAAAGGGGCTGGACAGGGTGGTGTCCGCAGGGCGGTGATGGGGAGAGAGGAGGCCCCAGCCCCTGGCGGTGCCTGCAGTGAGTCTGGGGCCTCGCGATTCAAGAAGGCAGCGTCGTGTGCTTGGTGCCCCTCACGGACACTTAAACGTCATTTGGACGCTGGGGCACCGGGGGCTCAGTCGGCTCAGTGTCAGACTGCAGCTCAGGTCATGACCTCCCGGTTCGTGGGCTCGAGTCCCGCGTCGGGCTGTGTGCTGACAGCTCGGAGCCTGGAGCTGCTTCAGATTCTGTGTCTCCCTCTCTCTGCCCCTCCCCTGCTCACGCTCTGTTTCTCAATAATAAATATATTAAAAATTTTTTAAAAACCTGTAAGGCTTCCTTAACTAAAAGTTTATTTTTCTTTAATAAAAAATACGGGGTATGAAAACCATAAGGGCAAGAACAGCGGAAACGTGGGGAGGAAACGGCAGTCGGGGCGCACACGCGGGGCCTGCGCGCAGAACCTGTAGAGACCAGAGACAGACGGACGGACAGCGGACGGACAGCGGGGCCGGCGCGGCAGCAAACAGGGACGACGGGTCTCAAGACTGGGTGCGGCAGGGGCGGGGGGGGGCTGCGCCGGTGCACACCGCACTAACCCCTCCAGACTGCGGCCTCACGGTGGGGGTGCGGCCGTGTGCATCGCGCCCCCGACCCGCCACTCCGAGCAAGAGTGCGGGGAAAGGAGGAAGGCGGGGAGCTGGTCCGAGCGGGGGGGGGGGGGGGGGGGCACACGTCTGAACTCC